TGGCCGATAAGTGATAATGAACTCGAATCTTGATAAAGACATACTCCAATGAGCTTGACGACGATTCAATACGCGTGCTGACATGAAATACTCGAGGTTCTTGTGATCTGTATACACAGTGACTGGACTAGAAGCGCCTTCTAGATAATGACGCCATTCTTGAAAGGAATCCACGATCGCAAGAAGTTCTTTATCGTGGATCTCATAATTGATCTCGGCTGCTGAGAATTTTCTTGAATAAAAAGCTATCGGATGAAGTTTGTCATCTGTTCCCATTTGTGATAAAACTGCACCCAAGGCAAAATCTGATGCATCTGTTTCCATAAAAAATGCCTTGGAAAAGTCAACACGATATAAGACTGGTGCAGAGACAAACGATGTCTTCAAGGCTTCAAATGCTGCTTCCCCTTCTTGATTCCATTGGAATTTATCTTTACTAGTCAAGCGTGTAAGTGGAGCTGCAACTCGTGAGAAATCTTTGATGAAGATCCGATAGTAATTGGCAAATCCCAAGAAACATTGGACATCTCTTACTGTCCTTGGAATCTTCCAATCCATGATTGTTTGGACTTTCTTAGAATCCATCATGAGACCATCATTTGAAATGATGTATTCTAAAAAGTCAACTTGAGTAGTGTGAAATACACACTTTTCCATCTTGGCGTACAATCCTGCATCTCTAAGTTTTTGTAATACTTGACGAACATGTATTTCATGTTCTTCGACGTTCTTAGAATAGATCAGGATATCGTCTAGATAGCAGACAACAAAATTGTCTAAGAATTCATGAAATACATCATTCATGAGATGTTGAAAAGCAGCTGGTGCATTCGTGAGTCCAAAGGGCATGACATTATATTCGAAATGTCCATACTTGGTTCGAAACGCAGTCTTCCATTCATCTCCTTCTTTGATCCGTACTAGATTATATGCTCCTCTTAGATCTATTTTTGTATAGATCTTAGCTTGATTCAACTGGTCAAGGAGTCCTGATATCAAAGGTAATGGATACCTGTTCTTGATTGTGATCTTATTGAGTCCTCGATAATCAATACACATTCGTAAAGATCCATCTTTTTTCTTTACGAATAGAATTAGAGCTCCTGCTGGAGATTTTGAATGGCGTATAAAATTCTTCGCTAAATTCTCGTCAATATATGTCTTGAGTTTAGCCATCTCATCTTGCGATAAACTGTAAATTGGTCCAAATGGTGGCTGAGTTCCTTCCTTGAGGTCGATTGAACGATCATATGGGCGATGCTCAGGAAGAATATCTGCATTCTTTTTCTCAAAAACGTCTTGATACTCCTGATATTGACTTGGAATGCCAATTGAAGTCTTTACGTTTTCAGAAATAGGTGCAGCATAAATAGCAAAAGTTGATCCTTCTTTTGCTGCGTGTATAAATGCTTTTGCACCTATCAGTACGGGTTTTACTATACTAGAATTATAATTTTTTACTTGGTTGGTAGAACTATTAATAACGCTTTGGGAAAAGTCAAGTTTACGCGAATTCCAATCTATTCGAGGGTTATATTTTTCTAGCCAGGATAAACCTAAAATAACTGGATTGGACGGGGATTTAATTATGTTAAAAGCTATGTAGCTATCATGACCGTCTATTGTTACTTTTATAGGATGAGTTTCATGAGTGACATCTCCAGAAGACAAGGGACGATCATCTATGACTTCTACATGTACTGGTTTAGGTTTCTGTACAAAGGGTATTTTACGACTTTTAACAAATTGTTCATCTAAAAAACATGCTGAGGTTCCCGAATCTAATAAAGTAGAGGCTTTGTAATTCTTAGGTCCTAAATATAAGTCTATTATAAAACAAGGAGAGGGTTCTGAGGAGAGGATAGGACCTTCATTAGGAATTGTACAAGGTTCCAGCTGCACGGTCCCTATTGTAGCTGGACGAATCCGTTTTCCGACATGTTGTCTTCTTTGACCGTCGTACCCCTCATTTTATAGTTGCGTCGTTTCTTTGGACAATGTTGAGCAGTGTGCTTAGGTTCTCCGCAATATAAACATAATCCTTCTTAACGACGATGAATCTTTTCTTGCTCAGTTAGGGATTTAAAATGTACCGCGTCAATTTGCATGTCTTCTGCTTCTGAATGTACGTTTGGCAAAGATGTTGATGTTGCCATTGAGTAATAATATTGAGGTTTCCGTGAATGATTCTCGGATCGAAATTCGAAAAGTCGATTATCACATTTTACCGCAAAATCGATTGCTTGACTCAAAGTTTGAGGATCAAGTAAGTTGAGCATCAATTTCTTTACTTCGTATTATAATCCATAAAGAAATTGACTGATGAGTGCAGCATCATCCCACTTCATGTCAATTGCAAGTTGTCAAAATTGTGAAGCATATACTGTTACTGAGCGATTTCCTTGTCGCAGAATTCGGATCTTATTTGTTGCAACACGAGTTGTATCGTGTTCACCATACATAGATCGAAACTCCGCCAAAAAAGCTTCCAAATTGTCCAATATTGGATTTCGTTGTTCAAGAAAAGACGAAAACCACGATAATGCAGAATCAGAAAGTAGAGTGCCAATAAACCTGACTTGTGATCCTGGAGTTGGATAGCTTTGCGGTTGAAGTTCAATTGCCAATTGTACTTGATTGATGAACCCTCGAAACTTTGATCTCGTACCATCAAATTTCTTAGGTAAGACAATTCTTGGTTCTCTAGTGCTTATAGGGTGTTATACAATTGGAGAAGGAACGTGATTTGTTGTAGATATTGAAGCAGCTCCGATCATCTCTATATCTCCACTTTCTGCTATTCTTGTTCTTTCCTGTGTTGGTGAATTGAGTTGATGCATCGCAAGCATTAACTCCCTCATTTGCTCTTGCATTTGTGCCATTGCACTCTTCATTTCAACAAGCTCTGCCATAATGACACTAAGAAGAAAAATTTGTTTGATATTGCTCAAGACAAAAGAAAAGAAAGACTTCATATCAAAGAAGATACTAAGAACAATATCAGTTTAGAAGTGGGTAATCCGCAAACTTCTAATACGCTTATGTCTTGTCAAGAGAAAGGGGTAATCCACTCTTACTCAAGAAAAAACAAAGCTCTGATATTGTAAGTGTACTCTTCTCAATCTGTCAAGGACAAAGACTCGATGAGGGAAAATATACACCAAAAGGCTATCTCGATATAATAAGTCAAAATATGAACAAGTAGGTATATTAAAAGGAAACTGGAATGGCTATTGCCACAAGACAAGAAACTAAAGACTCTTGAACCTGGACTAGAAGCAAGAAAGGAGTTGACAAGAGTGAAGAAGCCTTCACTCTTGTCTCTATATATACTATCTAACTAGGGGCTATGTGGCGACGTTCTATAGGACCTCCAATATGTGTTGACTTTGTAGGACACATGCCTTGACTTACAAGGCAAGTTTTTCTACGTATGGGCCACATAGTTAGCTTGATCTTCAAGCTAACAACATGTGTGGCACATGGCCAACTTGTTGATCACGTTTCTAATCCAAAAAGTCAATTAAAGACACCTATGAAGTCAAAGCAGCGTCTAGGAAGTTTCTAGGAAGCTTCTATATTAAATATTATAGAATTAGCTTACTTTTATCTACTTTTACTTACTTCTATTTATTTCTATATGTAATTATTAGCTTACATGATTATGGCCGTGACAGTTTGTCATAAAAATTGTTTTTTTCATGCTTCATGATTAGCACATAAATGTTTTTCGATTTAAAAAATCTATATCATATGGTCATATGGTACACTATTTTATTTGTAGCACTGAGTTGTTGGTGGTTGAATTTTTACAGTTGCTTTGAAAAATCTTATTCTGTATCTACACAAATCCACATTAATAATATCTAATTTCATATATATCTATATATATAAATTTTTCCCCAATTTAAACAAAAAAATCACAACAGTTTATTTATCAATGATGATATTCTCTTCATTTCAAGTTTGAGTTTAATATTTTTGTTCAGTTAGTATGTAAAGTTGGTACAAAATTCTAATTTTATCTGAAAACTTCATGACAAACAAATAAAAATCTTGTATTTACTTTGGAGTCGAATGTGCTCAAAATCAGATTTATCAAAGAGTTTGCAAAATCACAACAACAATACTTTTGTATTTTTCATTCTCATTTTTTGCAAAATGCATTTCCTGTAATCATGTGTTCCAAATTTCACCCAGCCATAAACAATCTGTTATCACACTGTCTGAAAAATACATACCTCTAAAACTTAAAAAAGCTTACTATATACACGTATAATTAACAATTGACTAAAGCATGGATTTTTGACAAACTAAGAATAATTAACTACAATAATAAATAAATGTCTCAATAAATAAATAAATAAATAAATATATATTGATATTGCTGCAAAATTTCTTAGTGAGTTAATTTATAGCAGTTAACAAAATATCAGTCCCAATACTATTCAATGTTTGCAAGTGTTCACAATGCTTAGAGTATGTATCATCCAAGATTATTAGTTGACAATTCATACTAAACTAAGCCATAAAAAAAGTCGTATTAAGATTCTTAAAAAACCCTAAAATGGGTAAAATCAAGAGTCACGAACGCTAACAAAAAAAAAAAAAAAAAAAAAAAAGAGAACCAGGGAAGGGGATCTTTTGAAAACGCTTCATCTAAAAGGTCATAACACGGAAGAGGGCTATGACCAAGGAAAAGCGGTCTTAGACACCCACGAGAATGAGGTCGACTTAATCCCATCTAAATACCGTTACAGCATGGTGGTGGGGTCCGTCAAACGAACGATCGATATCAACGGATGCGGAAAGGTGGGGGCTCCGTCGGCCACGCGACGAGAGGAGGACGAACCTAACCGACGAAGTCGATTTCGACGAAAACATATGAACGAAAAGTTGGTCAGTCGGACGAAAGCACATTCAAAACGCTGGGGGGTAAAGCTCGTCGTCGTCGGCGTCGTCTGTGTCTCGCATCTCTAATGGAGCTGCTTGTTAACTCATCAGCCGGCAAATCTTAAACGCACTCAACCTCGCTTGCTCGCTTGCTTGCGCCCGTGCGTGCGTGCGTGCGTGCGTTTCTACCGTTGGTCGGAGTAATAGTGCTATGGCTATGGCCATTGCAATGGTGCTGGAAAAGCAGAGGTCATGCGAGGAAGGGAGGGAGACACGAGCACGGAGCAGCGTTGCAGAAAGCGAGATCGTGTGTTCGGTGAGGGGCGCGTGATGAGGAGCGGGGGGGATTTAGTGTTAGGAAATGTGTAGCAGAGAGTGGCGTGAAGTTTGTTAGAAGATAGGGGGAGGTGTAGGCGGGCGAGGTTCGATGCAATGGGGCAGTGTTATGGAAAGTTTGATGATGGAGGCGAAGGGGAGGATTCGTTTGAGCGGCAGAAAGTGCAGGTTTCTAGGACGCCAAAGCATGGATCGTGGAGCAATAGCAACCGAGGGAGCTTCAACAATGGCGGGGGGGCCTCGCCTATGAGAGCCAAGACGTCGTTCGGGAGCAGCCATCCGTCCCCGCGGCATCCCTCAGCTAGTCCGCTCCCTCACTACACGAGCTCCCCAGCGCCTTCGACCCCGCGACGGAACATTTTCAAAAGGCCTTTTCCTCCTCCTTCTCCCGCGAAGCACATTCAGTCCAGTCTCGTGAAACGGCATGGCGCGAAGCCGAAAGAAGGAGGGGCGATCCCTGAGGCTGTCGATGGTGAGAAGCCCTTGGATAAGCATTTCGGCTATCACAAGAACTTCGCTACTAAGTATGAGCTGGGGCATGAAGTCGGTCGCGGGCACTTCGGTCACACATGTTACGCGAAAGTACGGAAGGGCGAGCATAAGGGACAAGCCGTGGCAGTGAAGATAATCTCGAAAGCGAAGGTATGGCCGTCGCCTTTTGTTGTGGATGTTGTGGATCATTTGATGTGTTGTGCTTTAGCTGAGATAGGGGGTGAACTGATTTTGTTAGGGATCGCGGGATGGAGGGGGCTGATTAAAGACTGTAGCAAGTATGGTGTTTGTTTCATGAACAAAAGATAGTTTCTACTCGCTTGTTCATTGGGAGAGCCTGTTTTGAGTTGGCAGCAGAGGCTTCCGTGACTGAACCTCCTTGATAGAGGGGTTACTGTGTTCGAAAGTAGCGTCAGTCGTGGAGTTAAGGATTAGGTCGTGGATGGCCATCTGGCACTGTTGGTTGTGGAGAGAGGAATGTGAAATTTTTTTGCGCCCAGGCAGTCTGGTTGTCGTCCTGTGGGGACGGTGGATGCGAGGTGTCGATGAAGCATATGGTGTTGAGCACATGGATGAACGTAGTTTTTGTTGTATACAGTGTGTGCAGTGATAGACTAGTGGTTACTTATGGGGTGCATGTCGGATCGGGCAGTTGACACTTGGCTCGGTGCATTACTGAGCTACTTTTATGATTGGTTAGATAGACTTTTAGTTGTTTGATCTGAAGCTCTCGATGAGTCGTGGCAGATGACGACTGCTATTGCGATCGAGGACGTGGGACGAGAAGTGAAAATTTTGAAGGCTCTGACGGGACACCAGAATTTGGTTCGATTCTACGATTCCTGCGAGGACCATCTAAATGTGTACATTGTTATGGAGTAAGTAGTCATGTACCTGGTGAATGATTTTTGTACACAGACGATTGTGAGTGGCAATGTCGACGATGAACGCGAATTTATCGCATCTTGTAATTTTGGAGGAACTAGTTTTTTTCCTTATTTTCTGCGACATCCAGTGATCCTTAAATTCGGATTCCCTATTCGGCCCTTCAAAGGGCTTGCAATACTTGTTGCCATTCTTAATTTGTTTTGAATTTGGCGTTGTTGGCAGTTTTTTAGCCAGAAATCACTAGATGGTTTTCTATTGCCTTTTAAGTCAGAAAAAAGGAACTTGATTAACATAGTGATTTTTATTTTATATCTCATTGCGTAGCGATCAGTTTCAGCATCATGCCAATGCAACTGGGTTTTGGTTCCGAAATATTACATTTTGTGGTGTAACTTCGGGCTTTGATCCTTGCTCACTCCAGTGTCTTGCCTTGCAAGCTGCCCGAAAATACTATTTTTACCCACCGTGTCATAAAATTCGTGCAGATTATGTGAAGGAGGTGAATTATTGGATCGAATTTTGTCTCGGTAAGGATTTGTGTTTGCTTATTATGTCTGCCATCTAGACATGATCTGTGTCGATGTCTCCAGTGACGTTGCCATTGATTTTCTATGCTCTAGCAGTCGACAGCGTTGCATGGGTGGTTTTCTGGGTGGACAAGCAGCCTCAGTCGTTGAGGCTCGATTGTAGTATTCATCGGACTCCAAATGGGGCAGCCATGGCATGGCCAGCTGGTCAACGATATATATATATATATATATATATATATTTTGTGTGTGTGTGTGTCTGGTAGTGCACAGTGAAGATCTGTCTGATCTCTCGATGTGACTGATTAGGGGAGGGAAGTACTCGGAGGAAGACGCCAAGGTTGTTGTGCGGCAGATTTTGAGCGTTGTTGCGTTTTGTCACCTGCAAGGCGTTGTTCACCGAGATCTTAAGCCTGAGGTTTGTGTACTTTCAACCTTGTAGACCCGCCATGACTATAGCGCCCGTGTTTACAAGGAGGTGATCGAGAGCCTCAGCATTTTAAATCTAAGATTTCAAACTATTGATGATAAAATTGTAGTTGTAAGTATGAAGTCATACGTTAACTAAAAGCAGGGGTGGTTTACCTTATTTATTTTGAATGTTGGAGGTGTAGATTCTCCCCCCCCCCTTCTTGAAATAAGTTCTGCTCTCGCGCAGGAGTCCCCAGGTTTCTCTGGTGTTAGATCCTTGAACTTCTAAGTACCGCTACTCTGTCTTTTTGATAGTTTGAAGCTAACGCTGTCGTTGACTTCAGTTTATTCTTTTTGGAAAATTTGTATGCAGAATTTTCTGTTTACCACGAAGGATGAATATGCTCAGCTTAAGGCCATTGATTTTGGATTGTCAGATTTCATCAAACCCGGTAAGATTCCGTTTTGTCCAAATTAAACATCAAATCAAATACCTTTTTTAGGGTGATTGTGTTCTTCTCTTCGACTTTCGTATTAGGAGTGAGTACTCTTCTCTCAGAGAGTGCGATATTATTCATCTCTCATAAGTGCTGCTGTGCACGATTTTAATCTTCCGCTCAGAGTTTAGGTTAGTTACAGGTTTTCCGGCGAAGTACATTGTATGAGTTTGGTCTGTGATTTCTCTGCCTATCTTTTTGAGCATTTAAGGAATGTACTATGAGAACGTGCCTGTATACGGCAGCTCCAATGCGGACTTCGGTTCTGTTTGTGTCACCTACATTCAGAAATGCTAACAGCTTTGGTTGTCGCTTTTCAGATGAAAGACTGAACGATATCGTTGGAAGCGCATACTACGTTGCGCCGGAGGTATTGCATAGGTTATATTCAATGGAAGCTGACGTATGGAGCATTGGAGTCATCACGTACATTTTGTTATGTGGTAGTCGACCGTTTTGGGCGCGGACCGAGTCGGGCATTTTTCGTGCGGTGTTGAGGGCTGACCCGAGCTTTGAAGAAGCCCCTTGGCCTTCCATCTCTCCCGAAGCCAAGGATTTCGTGAAGCGTCTCCTGAATAAGGATATGCGGAAACGCATGACTGCTGCACAAGCTTTAAGTATGTGCTTGCTGTACAAGTTGTTAACTATCTTCATCTTGTTCTGAATTTGCCGCATAGTGACTGTTCTACTCGGAGCTCGTTGTTATATTTTTTTTTGTCGGATTAGTACAACGAGAACAATTTGTGTACGATCCTTATTTGTCATCACCTTTTGGAGTTGCAGCTCATCCATGGATTCGAAGTAACAACGTGAAGATACCTCTGGATATCTTAGTGTACAGACTTGTGAGGAATTATCTTCGTGCATCATCCATGAGAAAGGCTGCTTTGAAGGTCAGTGTAATGAATCAGTCTTCTCCCATTTCCGTCTGTTGCACCAGTGTCTGGAGGAATTATGGCTTCACACACGTACTCGCGTAGTATGAAAATCTGTTATCCGGAAAGGTTTGTAATCTGTTGGGGCATCTCTCTAATGTAATGGTTTGTGACGTCCTTCCAGAGCTATAGTTATCTCCTGGGTCGAGGCCCTTTGTACTTCACTGAAATGAATTATGTAGGTGTGTTGATTTGGGATTGGATTATCGCAGGCCCTGTCAAAGACTTTAACCGAAGACGAGACTTTTTATCTACGTACTCAATTTATGCTGCTAGAACCAAGTAACAACGGTCGTGTTACTTTTGAGAATTTCAGACAGGTAGGTGGACATCTCCCTGGAAGCCTTCTATTTGCGTTTTGTCACGTCAATGGGCAGAAGGTTTGGACATGGGTTTTGCCTTATCTAGCACAATATGTTCCCTCATGTGTTGTGGGATAGTTACTAGATATGAGTGGGTTAATGCCTTTCATCCCTCCGTTTTGCTCCATCCCTACTTGGTCTCCTCATCTTCTTGCGTGGTTGCTGATGGCCAGGCACTGCTGAAAAATTCAACAGAGGCCATGAAAGAGTCACGGGTTTTTGAAATTCTGGAATCGGTAAGTTTTTTTTTGAAAGTATCCTTTCCGTACAACTGATTCAGATTTTATATATCTACAATTAGAAGTGCTTTAGTTCTTCTGTTCGGAAATTATGATCTCATTCATGATGGTTTTTGAAGGCCACTCTGCTGTTCTTTGCCTGAGGAGGAATTAGTACCATTCTTACCTGGAAAATGCATGCATGTTTGCAGATGGATGGTCTTCATTTCAAGAAAATGGACTTTTCAGAGTTCTGTGCAGCGGCCATTAGTGTTCTCCAGTTAGAAGCCACAGAACGATGGGAGCAGCATGCTCGCGCAGCTTACGACATATTTGAGAAAGAGGGTAACCGAGTCATTTATCCTGATGAACTTGCGAAAGTAAGGCCCATTATCCCTCTCGCAAATAATTTCTGGCTGGTTTGTTCGTGGGTCGCCTTCTTTCTGATTCAATCAGAACATTCCTTTCCTTCTGTTACTATGCAAGTTTATGATCACTTAATGATTCAATTCCACTACAAATCCATTTTTAAGTTTTTTTCTTTTTTTTTTCTTTTTTTCCCCCTTTTTTTCAGGAGATGGGACTAGCACCAAATGTACCAGCCCAAGTGTTTCTAGATTGGATTAGACAGTCTGATGGTCGGCTGAGTTTCACTGGGTTCACCAAGCTGCTACATGGAATTTCCAGCCGTGCTATCAAAAATCTCCAGCAGTGATTCTTTGCATCGTACAGTTCGGAATGGAGTTTTTAAGCTCTTTTAGTTTCACTTCCGTCTTCAACTGCTGCTTCGCCTCGTCTCTGAGCTGTGATAGCGTATCTCAAGCATATGCACAACTCGCATTTTTGCTGAAGTGATTTGTCACCTCACATTAGTCGGGCCTCTGGAACTTTCACTTATTTGGATTATTTATGTAGAAGTCCAGATCAAAAAGCGAAAAGGAATGGCTAGATATTGTCACAAGAAGTAACATAGTCAAATTCAGGAGCACTTAAGCACACATTGAGTGCTTTTTATTGGAATTCTTAGATATGGAACTGATGTTTCCAAGGGAAGGGTCTATGAGGCAGAGAGTGGAATGTATAGACTGGCATATGGTTAAGTGATCATTGGACTGCCGTTCTACTCCGGTTGTCACGATCTACCCACCACGTCCGTTAGTGGTGGCAGCCATTATTAGCTTGATCCAATTTCCGAGATGATCCCTCCTCCCACATTGTATCACTGGAGATGTTCAATTATTGTTCATAATTTTGTGCCCTGATTTTCATTCATCTCTCGTGTTCTTGTCAGTGATTCTTGGTTTGGTTGACACGGGAACCTTACTTCCAGGGTCAAGAGTGGCGTAGGTTGTTGATCATTCTTGGCGCAGGGTCACGAACTGATGATTCGTTGTCACAATCAGAACCTTAGTGTTTTAGTGCCTAACTTCCTTGTGTAACTTGTGTGTTGTGCAACGGAAGTGTTTCATTCCTTCGAAAAGGAGCGGAAAAGCTCATGTTGCTGATGCAAAGCATTACTGGTATGTTGACTCCAAACCATAAGCACCATCGTGAGAGGGAAAGTGGGAGGTGAGTTGGGGCCGTCTGTGCTCACTTCTGTTAGGTTTCTATCTGCCCCAAGTTGACCCAGTGGATGGAAGAATTACGTGGGCCACATTTTGCAGGATACTCTATATTCCAGTGGTGTGAAAAGTAGTCAATCATCTATCTAGTCTTCTGAGAAGAAGAGCGACGTCGAGGTAATTCCCAATCTCTAATGATCTCAACAAACCAAATATGATTTTGACCAAGAACCCATGAATATCTACCGGTCTTGTTCCAACTTGTGGATGAGTTGTGTTGAACATAAGGAATGTGTGCAAGCTTGGACTATCATGCCCCATTCCAACCCCAGCTTTTGCCATCATCTTATGTCTTACTGTCTTACTGACTGCTCTCTTTAAGAGGATTCAGACTTGGCACTTCTGCAAAACCAAATAATTGGGGTTCAGCAGTGATATTTCCAAGATTGTGCAAAATGTCAAATCCAAAACATCACCGTTCAAACTTTATTACCACCTTCAAGTTTTTGAAGTATCACTTAATATTTTGGTGATTTGGAAAAGTCAAAGATCAATGTAGTATAGAGTCAATGGGAAGACAATTAAGGCAAGCAATACAATTTTTGATATTTCACCCACACTTCTTTTGATATTTGGATTTCAAAATCACCCCTTATTATGAGGATTTAAGTTTCCAAAGCATCACTTCATATTTTGGTGATTTAGAAAAGTCAAAGAGCAATGTGGTATGGAGTCAAAGAAGAAAGATAGTTAAGGCAAGCAAAGTAGTTTTTGATATTTTACTCGCTCCTCTTTTGATATTTGGATTTCAAAATCACCCACCTTGCAAGGTAGGTGATTTTGAAATAAGTTTGATGGGTTCAGATTTGTGAGCCTATCAATGGACGTTATGTTGAACACTATATACATCCAAACCCATGGAAACTATGCTAAGTTTTTCCACCAAGTTGTGTGATTGATGTTATACATTGAAAGTTAAGTTTGGAGCCAACTTTTACTCTTCTTCATCATTTGAATAAGTATTGAAATGTACCTTAATTACATGTAGTTTTGATGTTATGTAGATTATCACACTACCCCACAAAGCAAGAGATATTTTAAGAAATAAATGGATTATTTTTAGGTATGAATACAATCACAATCTATTTTATATTTCATGCATTTTGACTTTTCATGTCCATGCACCATCTCTTATTGAAAGCATTTTTTTTTTCTATTTCAAAATTAAGATTTACATACATGTATGCATGTATGTATACATATGTATTTACTCCTTCTTTTTGACAATTAATTAACAATTGATTCAATTTCTCTAAATATTTTCTTCAATTTTTCTTACCAATGTAAAGTCATTTTTGATATGAGATGAAATTATAGGTTGGTAGAATGACTCCATTGAAATCAATTAAGTTGCAACCTTGAATTTTATTATTATTCACATCTATTGAAGTGCAACCTCAAACATACATACATACAATAATTTTTTATTTTTTATTTTTTTTGTTTTTGTTATTTATTTATTTTTTATTTTAGAGTTTTAGGATAGAAAAATATAAAATAAGTTAAAGAATTAAAGAATTATTGTTTTTTTTACCAACCATGTGGAACACACGTTTGTGTGAAAACGGATTTGTGTAATTGGCTTTCTAGTTCAATGTTCAACTTATGATCCTCTTACCATTCCATTAAAACTGATTTAGAAAAGAATACAAAGTAGAGGAAGACTCACCATTCTACTATTTACCACTTCTAAAGATACTATGGTTTCACCAAATGAAATGAAAATGTGGTTATTAACAAAAGTCGTGCTTTTTTATGAGTATTTGGGTACCTCATAGTGACTAATCTGAGGGGAAGAGATTATTCTTTCTGTAGCATTTTGTGAGGATTTTAGCAACTTTTTTGTTTTGTTTTGTTTTTTTTTCTATTCTAAAACAAAAGTAAAGATTCAAGACACAGTTAAGCTTTTCTAAAAGTTGTTTGTTGATATATTGTTGTTTTTTGGTGTTGTTTTTTGGTGTTTTTTAGAGATCATATCCTACTCAATAAAAATAAAATAAAATAAAATAAACTAAAAATGGAATGATACCATGAATCACTGTTTTTTCGTTTGTGATTGTAACAATATTATGAAGAATTAAACCAAATATTAATAATAGTAATAATAATTTTAACTTGTTGCATTATTTGGTACTACACATGATTTTCAATACCATACAGATTCTAAACAGCTTTAATACTGAACAATTGGATTTGGAAGTGAAAAGCTTTCATTCATTTTGATGAATCAATTGGACTTCAATAAATGAATGTGTTCCTTGTGTTTGCACCATACAGTTCATGTGGTTACAACATGCATCTTTATTGATTAATCCTTAGTTTAGGTTTATTTCAGTCTGTTACTACTTTTTTATTCTTAAGTAGTAATGCTAATATTTTTTTTTTTTTTCTGTTTTTTCATTAACACTAATTTAACTTGAAACTATAGTAGTTCATACTTACCAATATATAATAAATAAATAAATAAATAAATAAATAAATGAAATAGTATGATTTATAAAAAGCATCATGTTTATTGTTTTTGCATCATTTGGTGTAATACTTTGTAAAAAACAAATATTAAAATGTTACACAATAGATACTCAAATCATAAATTATAAATATTAATTGTTTAAATGCATATTAATCATAGTCTAAGCTATCAATAGGCAAGCCTCAATGCCTAAAGCTTTGTGCCTAAGCAATCTCTTCTTTATGCTTGTGTCTTTGCTTATTGCCTCTCTGCATCTCACTTTTCAAACTTCCACTTCTTCTTTGTTTGTTTTGCTTCTCTTTTTGCCATTGTACTTATTTTGTATCTTTAATGAAGCTTCTTCTTCTATACTTTATCAAGCTATTCATGCTTTTTTAATACCCATACGAATTATAAGTTGCATTGATTCATTAAAAAGAAAATTTTGAATAAACATTTTGTTTGAAATTGGTGATGGATGCCTCATATTTTATAAAAATATTATGTTTTCGAAGTATTTTGAACTTTGTCGTGAGGTTTTGAATTGAAGTGCATTTTTGAGCTTTTGTATAACAAACCATTTGATTAGTAGTTTGCTCCGGTTGAACACAATCAAAGAAAATTGCTTTGTAAAATTATAGTAGTCATCTTTATAACCATAGTGACTAACACATAAATGTAATAATGTAGATTTTAGAGTTGGATCAATGTTGATGATGATCCAATATTTTGTAATTAATGTTCATATATTTCTAATAAACTATAGAACATAATTAGATAGTAGACTACAATTTTAAGAATATGTACATGAAAATAGCATAATTTGTCTTTAAATTAAAAATAATCATCCACATAAATATTAAAATGATCTTTTTTAAAATGGTAATAACAATAATAATATTTTTTTATAAATATAATTACAATTTTATCTATTAATATACTATTTATAATAATTAAAGATATACTAATGTTTAACCTTTTTTTATTTTTAATATTATATCATCATATTATTTTTTTATTTATCAAATATATTCTAAAAATAATCTCATATTAAAACAATATAAATTGATAAAACAATATAAAATCATAAATTTAAACCAAAATATTTCTAATTTCTACGTAATTTTTCTTTTTATTCAAAATTCAGGTACTCACAAAATAATATAAGTTTTTGTAATCTTTATAGATCATTATTATGTACTGAATTACTATATATATATATATATATATATATATATTAAAAAGAATGCATTATTTTTCAGGTTTATTTGAGATAAAATTTTAAAATAAAAACTTATAGAGGACTTGTGAAGGTCACGGATTACTATGAATGATTTTCGAACATTAAAGAAATTTTTATTATATTCTAAAATTTATAAAAATCTATAAACAATGATACAAATATATGTGAAATTCTAGAAATTTATGATTTTGTTTTGAAATGTTTAAGAAAATGTTTCCAATTATGTTTGTTGTATATGCATCACAGTTTTTTTATTTTTATTACTACTTAAAATAAATAAAAAAACAATAACTTTGGAACTTAAACAATTAAATTAACAAGACAAAAATATTAGTCTTTCAAGAATCAAGAAAAAAATGAAAATATAACAAATGAATGTTAAAGCCTTCACATTCATTTGTTATATTTTCACAAACTGTGAAAATCCTCAATTCACCTGCTAAAGTGGTAAGTGTAATTATACAAATTTAACCTCAAACTATAAGGAAGTAGAATCCCTTTCAAACCTTGTCACAAAATCTCCATGTTTAAAAATGTTTTTATTTAATTGTTCTTTCCCTAATCCCTTGCACAACTTGTGCCTAAGACCAAGCTTTTTAGACATAGTGGAAAACTCATAAAAATAGAATGTGCCACATAGGACATGAGAAATTAGTTTATTGTTACTTTATTATTATTATTATTATTATTATTAGTGGAATTAAAACCCATAAATCACAAGCCACCAATCCCTCCGCGCCCCTTGTCGGGGCTCACCATAAATAATTTTTGGCCCAATTCATTCAACATGGCATCCAAAATCATTTGCCCTCCATAAAGGCTTTGAAATTATACAAGCTCATACAACCATGGGTCTTCAATGCAATCCGACCCCCCCCCCTCCCCCCCCCACAAATCCCATTTTCTCAAAAAGAGAAAAAAAAAAAAAAAAAAAAAAAAAAAAGAAGAAGAAGAAGAAGGAAAGAAAAGAAACTAAAACCAAAAAACCAAAAAACGACACAGAAAAAGACATTAAAGACATATAAAGCAATCACTCTCATGTCAGTCCCCCACACTATTACATGTGGCTACACTAATAGAACCGGGATCCCAAACTTAGCAAATCGGAGCGCTTCGATTGGTACACGTGGGCACCACCCCTTTGCCAGCTCGGCATAAAAAAGTCACGTCCAAAGGGCCCTAGAAGTCCGCAGACTGCGAACCCGCGCGATATGAGTCAAAGGGGAACAGATCTCGTGTCCGAGGGGAACACGCGCACGTTCTAGAACGCGCAGGGGAACTTGGGGTACACTATCGCCTGTGGGGATGAAGTGCCAGCTGGGTCGAAAACCGAAGCCAACTCAGCATAATCCTGATTTGGACGCGCCAGCTCGGCTTCGTCGGCGTTCTTCTTCCCCTGCTTTCCTCCTCGTCGTCGTCGTCGTTGTCACTGTTTTTGCAGCTTCAAGCTTGTTTCCGCCTCTCGGCGCCATTCGCCCTTCCGCTTCTTCCTCCCTCTCGAATTGCTATTCTCCGCGGCGCTTCTTGTCGTCCAGGCGAACAGACTCTTGTTGCTGTTTATATCCCTGTTCTGTCACTCGCTTCAGTTTTTTGATTCCGATTTCGGTTGTATTTTGGTTGGAGTCGAGAGGATCGTGTGCGGGGTTTCCTTGTTGTGGCGATGCGGGCTGTGGATGCGGCGTCACGCGCATGGGAAGGGTGAGATCACGGCGGAGAGAAGAGTGTGTTGGCTGTGAGGACCTAGTGGGACTGTGATTGTTTGTGGAGGGGAATGGGAGTGTGTTGTTGTTGACGGGGATGAAGCTGTGGTCGTTTTGCAGTGTGTCGTTTGCGTCCTTGGTGGTGCTGGTTTGAAGCCCGTGTTTTGTGGTTGGATGCCTAGGATGCATGCTTGTGTGGTTTATGGTTTCAAGGTCTGGTACTGTTGGCAGTGTTTAGGGCACTGGTCTTGCTTCATGATTGCATTAATAGTTGATTTTTATATGCAGTCGTTAGTGACGTGTGTTTTGGTGTCTGTTTAGTTGGTGTGCGCTGTTCTCAGATTGTCGAGCGGGACCGGTATACGTGGCTACAGTCTCATGGCAGAGTGACTTGTTTCAGTTGTAAGTTAGTGATGGCAAGAAATTTTAGATGCCTCTGAGAGGTAGTGAATGGAAGTATTTTTTAATGCACAGAGCTAGCGTGTTGAATTCCTAGCATGGAAATTCTAGAAATGTTGTGTTGCCTGTGGCTCGGCCTTGTGCTAGCGGTGCTGTTCTAGGGGTGAAAGTTTTCTCGTTGCAAGTGTAGAGGAAGTTGTGTTCATCTCATGGTTGCGCTATGCACTGCAACGTGGTGTGAAGGGTGAGAGGAGCGATGGTTCTGTTAGTTTACTTACCCCTTCATTTAGTCTTTAATGGCTGACTTACTTGACGTGTGCAGGTGCAAGAATTCGCATTGTTGCTTTACAGTTGAACGACAAGCATTTTATTCTTCTGATCATAGTTTAGCGGCATCAGAGCTACTGACTATGAACTTGCGCCGCACACGATTAAAAATAATGACTGGTCCATTCTTTTCGAGGGCACTCCCATGAATTTCTCAGCGATAGTGGCAGATACAGCCCAATTTTGGAACACGTATCAAACAAAGATCTGTAGGAAAACAGCGGTGCTTAATTCTTCTTCTTTCGTGTACGAAAATGGTGGCTATTTGAGGATTAATCCGGAATTCTTGGTGTGTACATTGTAGCCCAAAAAAAAGGAAAAAAAAAGAAAAAAAGAAGCACGAAAGTGCGCGGCGCGGGAGTGCAGCGTCCATGGTAGCGCTAGTGTTAGCCACTGTTAGAAAGTCGCTTCTCACGTGTCAGACTGAGGGAGAGGTTGAAGTAATGGAGATAGAGAGGGCAAGAGTCACAGACAAGGAGATGGAGAGGGGGAAAGGGAAGAAAATTAAGATGGATATTGGATGGCCGACGAATGTCGAGCATGTGGCGCATGTTACTTTCGATCGTTGCAATGGGTTCCTTGGCCTTCCCAAGGAATATGAGCATGAAGTACCTAGGCCGACACCCAGTGCAAGGTGTGTTTTTTATTTTAAAAAAAAAAGAAATCCCTGACCCTTTGACGCTACCGCTTTTTGCTTTGAGTTGTGTCAATTGTAGAGGGCGAGCAGCCAAATGGAATTCTAGATTACTTGTAGGTGTGCTTATCGCTCTATATGCTGACTGCTCAATCCATGTGCAGCCAAAATGTGTTCGGTGTCTCAGCGGAGTCCATGCAGTGTTCTGTAGATTTTCACGGCAACATGGTCCCGACTATTCTTCTGCTTCTACAGAAGCAATTATATGACCATCAAGGACTGAAGGTGTGGCTCACATCCGAATATTGGCTCAAATCAATTTTAATGCCGGATTCCTGACTGTCAAGCAACTTAACGCACGTTCAGTTAACTGGCCGTTTGTTATCGGAGTGTTGATCGGCTTATGTGTGTAGCACCGTCTCATGCGTGTATAGTTACATGATATTTAAAACCAACTTATTTTGAGCTTGCACTGTGCATTTAGGCTGAGGGTATTTTCAGGATCAATCCTGAGAATAGTCACGAGGAGCATGTGAGGGCGCAACTCAACAAAGGAGCTGTGCCTTATGACATTGACATTCACGCGTTAGCTGGGTTGATTAAGGTCGGTGTCACTCAGTTCATCATACTCCTTAAGAGCCTACTGGTTCTCTCTTGTTCCCTATTTAGCTGTTTCCTGGGTAGAATTTCCAGTTGGAGGAATGTTTTTTGAATGGTTTACTTAGTTTTGCAGAGCTATATGTGGGTGTCTGCAACGTCCTTTATATAGTAAACAGACAGTCAACAAGCACATTTAAAAAAAAAAAATTCCTGTCTTTAGGATGCGCCTATAAGTTTGTACGGTGTGGAATGCAGGCGTGGTTTAGAGAACTTCCAAGAGGTGTTTTAGATTCATTGAGTCCAGAGCAGGTTCTTGGTTGCCACGGTGAGAAGGACAGCTTGGCACTCACCAAGCAATTGCCACTCACGGAGGCCGCTTTATTAAATTGGGCTGTCAACCTGATGGCTGATGTGGTGGAGCACGAGTCGTACAATAAAATGAATGCTCGGAACATCGCTATGGTGTTTGCCCCAAACATGACACAGGTATAGTGTTGTTTCTACGCTTTTCACCCAGAGAAGCTGATGACCATTACAAGATCAGACTCGTAGAGATTTCACTACAGATGCTGTCTTCGACGTTTCATGTGCTGAATTTGAACGTAGGTATTCCGTGTTTATGGTGTTTCAATTGTTGTAGAATGTGTAACATTTATTGACATTGCTTCATTATCCTTCAGATGGCTGATCCACTGACAGCTCTGATGCATGCTGTTCAAGTCATGAACTTGCTCAAAACTCTGATTCTTCGCACACTGAAGGACCGAAAGGCCACTTTGCTGGAATCCCGTTCACCACCATCATCATCTGAATTGCCCGAGACAGAAGAACCTGAACATGATCCTCAAGCAGCTCTGTGGGTCGAGGATGCCACTGACGATGTTTACGCGGGGAATGTATTTAATCGCCATGATCGGCAATGGTCTCAAACCTCCCACAACTCATCTTCGGGGCTCCTCCGGTGTCATGAACGGAGTAGCTCTCAAAACTCGCAAAGTGGTGTCTGGATGGATCGTGAGCGAGGCAGTTCACGGTACCCTCCGCTGTGTAGGGGTTCTCACAACCGTCAACCGAGTCCTGTTTATGACGGTCCTCATAAATCAAGCCCTTACCTTAACGGCAGTGTAGGAGTCAGTTATTTCCGGTACTGCTCACAAAGTGCGTTACTTAACGGCCTTGGCAACAACAGGAAGGATTCTCACGGGAATTTCAGTCCTTTTATGCTCTACCCTCCCACGCACAGCTTCAAATCGAAGGGTGGTAGTGGCCGCATGACTCCTATAGATGGACGAACGGAACGGGTGGAAGCATGGTGACAAGGAAATGATCTTCAGTTCAATCTTTTATAGATATGGAGTTTCGCTCTTCTCTTTTGGGATTTGAGTTTTCACGAAGATAACCACATGTGGGGTTGCTTGTGTTGGTTATAGACTGCCAGCAAAGTCTGATCTCTCGACATTCAGATTTTCCTGAGGGCTAGTAGATCTAACTGGAGTTTACTTGAATCGAAGGTGATGTTTGCTGCGTATATAAATACCATCTATTGCGAAGTATCGGTTTGAGAGCGCATTTTCGGATCTCAAAATTATCGCACCATTCCTGAAGCTGAAGGTCAAAATTAGTGAGATTGTACTATTCCGATTGGCACGAAGGAGTATGCTGGAAGAATATTTCTTCAGAGGCTGGTAACACGGGCATCATTTCGCTCTTGTATACTAGTTCAAGTTAACCTAGTTGTCATGCATGTCCAGAGGCAGCATCTAACACTAGACTCAAGGAGCAAAAGACTTGCCTGTTCTTGGATCGAAGCCACCTTGTGAAGGGAGCTTTTTGATCTCAGTCAAGGCCAAGCGTTATACTCAGCATGTATGGATATGAATTTGTGAGGTCTTTTTGTTTTGTTTTGTTTTGTTTTTTTCGTTAAATCTCTTACTCGTCCTAGCAGGTTCTCGTATTTTCTGCTTACCCTGTGTAACAACTAGGCATCGAAGTAGAGAACGACTCTCAGAACTCTCTGCATGGTTGGATCCCTACAATAGTACCTCATTGCAAGATATTGGATCCTCGCTTTTGGTGTTGTCAATATTGGCTTTAGATGGTTTGTCACGTTTCTCGGACGATCTGACCACTTCATAATGCAACTCACGATTCTTCCATGCAGGGTCCTTTCAGGTCTCATTTGGGATTCATACTATTTCATCTTCAGTACGGAAATAGTAGGTGGCATAAGGTCCATTCCCATACAGCATTGGGAGTGGTGTCAGTACCTGCAGCACATGAGGTCGGTCCTCCAGTGTGTGCTCACCTTAACATTTTTCTCCCATACTTTTTCCCTTATGCCTACTTTGTCTGGTTCACTGGACATCAGAATGCTTGGTTTCAATTGTGGTGACAGTATTGGTCCTATCACCAACCCTTCAACAGAATGTAATGACTATGAGATGGGTCGGTGGGATTTGTGAATCATGCCAGCTGCTTGATTCTATGACCTGAGCTACCCAAATATTCTTTGGGCACTAGCTTCAAATGATAAAATACTACATGCATTTACAATAGTGGTTATAGTAAAAGAGCTCCTTCAACATTTACTCTCCAGATGGGTTCATGTGTTCAAGCATGTCCAATCTTGAATCAGTTGCCAAAATATAAGCACTCTGGGAACTTTGTCATCTTTATCATCCATTTCAGAAATGTGTTGTTGTTTAGTCATTACCTAATTTTGCTATGTACTATCAACATACAAAACGTGCATATATACGTATGAGTTTTTAAAAATAAAACATATAGCTTAAAAAGTGATGAAACCCTGCGATTTTTTTATAACAAGTATCAAGTTGACTTTGAAGTAATTACAACACCTACCAACATTTCACCACATTTCAACATGTTTTTGTTTTGTTGACGCCTCTGCATGTAGAAAGAAAAAGTTTCGAAATCTAATCACAACTATATCGGATAACTGTTATTGACAACGTTTTTTATAAACCAAAATGTCACAAATATGCATGTATATACATACATACATATATACATACATAGTTTGTACTTCTCATACAAATTTTGCATTATTTATTCATATATAATGACCAAGAATGCTAAATCTACACACTTTATGCAACAGATGAAGTAATGTCTAAATATTTTCTTAATAAGGCTTAAAACCACATTAAATTCTTTTTGCTAATTAACTTGTGGATTTAATTTATTCATTCATGAGAATTTATTTTGGAATTATTTTGGCTAACATATTTTTATAATAAAAGTCAAGTATGATGCAAAATCATTTGTAATATTATTACATAGTAAGATATACCACTACAAACTTCCAAAGGATTTATGCATAGCATAATTGTTCTAGCTTGTTTATAATTTCGACTAAACTTGGTAGATCTTATAAGTTTAATATATTAAAAAGAAAGTTTTGCTTCAATGCTACATAAAATCTCAAAAAATGAAAGAGATTTATAGTTTTTAAAGAATTTTCTTCAACCAAATATACCTAAGATTGGTGCAATTATAGCCACAAGAGCAAATATTATTAGATTTAGATTTAGTGCTTTGGTTTTTTGTAAAAATTGGGAGTCTTAGAAAGTATAAAAAATACTAGTATAATTAAATATAGTAGAAAAAAATAAAATTTAGACATGACAAAGATATAACATTATAAATTTTAGTGAGAATTTGGAATTGCAACTTGTAGCAAAAGGTTTAGGTATATACATCTACAATTGTAAGAAACTTCCAAGTAGAGATGTTCAAGTAAATATTATTATTAGTTTAATATTGCATGCTTAAGAAAGGCAAGATACAATAGAAGCAGACAAATAAGCTTCATGTTTGCACTTGTCACAAGCTATTATTGAAAAAAAAAACCTCTCTTTAAGATTAAATCAAGTGCTTATTAAATCTTAGACTAATCTTAATGCTTTAGTAGTTTGAAAGATATTAACACTTTAAAATCTACTTACACAAAATAATTTGAATAATCTTCAAAGAATAATGGATCTAATTTTAAGAAAAATTGTATATTTGCCATAATACAAAGTAATAGAATGGCAAAGTCATTAGTCTATCTATGACAACTTTTTAATATATTTTGGTCCAATATACAAAATTAACTTTTCTATTATATATAGTTTATTCTAAATATTTAGATCTTTATAATTATTTATGGAATACTATTTATTTGGTAGAAAAATATGATTATCAAAAAAATACAAGAAATTACTACAAAATCAAAGATATCTTACTTGTATTTAAAAAATAAAGTAGAATGAATTATTACTTATAGGTTTTAAGATGAAGTAGAAGTTTCTATGGAATAAAACTACAAATAAAAGAGAATTAGCTCTAATTTGGCATAATTGTCATAAAAGAATGGAAATCAATGTAAAAGAATAAAATAAAATGAGCAATGATGTCTTAAAAAAGACTTATGTTTCTTTTTATTCTTTACACTTTAAAATAAAATACATTATTAAATCTTATATAGATATTTTAATCATCTTATTGCATAAAAGTTTAGAAGTAGAGAACAACAATCTTCTACTCTCATCAAATAAGGTCATAATGGTAAAATAATTTACATTAATAAATCACTAAAGAAAGTATTGCCAAAAAATTCAATTGCTTTTATTTATATGGCTCCTCAAAATGAAATAAAATACCTCATAAAATCATAGAAGAGTTGGATTAAAGCAAACAATGTAACTATTCCAAACGTTTTCACCTCCATAAAATCAAACAACACACCTTCCTAACGTTTGCATGGTACATTCTGATTTTGAGCCCTTAATTAAACCAACTCGAAACTGATTTTCTCAAATTTCCACCAATCAGCAAAGAGATACACCCCCTCATGTTACGCTTCAATAAACAAGTGGAACATGAATAAATAAAATTTATTTAACAAAAAAAAAAAAAAAAAAAAAAAAAACAAGGTGATCTTCACAGGCGCCACCTCAAGATCTTTGCGTTGCAGTGAGATCGACACGGTCCAAAACTCCTCATTTGTTTGGCTGATGCCGAAACCACGATGATGAGTGCCGCAACGCAAGTCCGTAAATTTGCATCAAGGATCATGGAGTTCGAAAGAGGGCAACTGAGCAAGCATTAGCTCTCCATCAAACACGCCGTCTACAGGTGAATCTGATCCCTTTCCGTATGCTGCACAGTTTCAGCGTGTCGGTATCACCACAAACGGAGGAGGAATTTAGGAGAACAACATTGCAGGAGGTTTGTATGCGGTAAATTGGTCAGCAGGAGTGGGGTATTAATGGGTTCCCCCGTAGATGATCTTGCTGTGGTGGTGGCGAAAACCCTGGTAACGAGGACGGGGTTTGTTCGATCGGAGACCTGTTGAGCGAGACCTTCCTCCGGGAAGCAAATAGTGGCGGCCTCTTGCCTTTGTCTGTATTCGGTATTCATCCTCTTCAGGGAAGCTTACGGGGAAATTTGATACGTAAATGTATTTGTAAATAAATGAATAAATAAATAGATATATATATATATATATATATATATAAATACACACATACAAATAAATGGGCAATCATCATTCATTCATATGTCACAGTAACTGTATCCTCACATTATTAATTTAAGTTTTTCTCCACAGGGTTTGATTTTCTCCACAGGGTTTGATTTTCTCCACAAGTTTTTCTCCGGCAGATTACTATACTATACACACAAAGATGCCTTTGTTATTTCAAGGACTATTGTAAGGGACCGATCCTGTAGTATCGGTTTACCGTTTTCAGGATTTTGCTAGTGGCCTGGAGTGTATGGACTGCCAGGGAAACAGCATTATTTCAGGGTCACATTGTGTACTAGTATTTGCACCTGAAAACAATGAAGCCGACCTCCAGAAGTCTGAAACGTTTCTTACGATGTTTCGCAGACGATGGGCGTTAACCATGAGCCACAATAGATGCCTGAGAGTGGATCACTCAGTGCCCCATTATTCGAGGGTGGGCAACTAAAAACGCTGTGTAACGTTGCCCATGCATGTTCAACAGTAGCAACACTGTGGCATGATTTGAAGTTGAAGCATAGTTTGCAACCTCATTTGATGTAAAGAGATGTAGAGAAATCATTTTGTGAACCATTCTTGCATAGGGTTGTATTCTTGCTTGATTTGCACAAACTGTTTCTTAATCAGAAGTTGTCCTCTCTGATCCTTCTCTAGGCTCACCCCTACCTATTCTCTAGGCGTTACTTCAGCCTGGCTTACCCAACCTGAGCACCAACAAAAAGGGTAGCAATTGGGATGGTAGAAGACGGTTTGTTTCTCTTCAAAAAGTAATTACTTCGCTACTCTGGTTTCTTTTTCGACAAATAATAAAGGACTAATCTTGCTGCGGATTCTGCCGCAACTCAAGGAATTTCACCAGATGAACTATTTCCTTCCTCTGACGTTCTGTGTACCTTCATTCTACTTCATGCCAGAGTCGAAACTTTGCAGCAGGGACAATGAAGTCAATCTCCGTAACCGTTCTCGGTTTAATTGATCTGACGAGGGGACGAACAGCTCAAGATGTGAAGGTCTTTACCGAGTCCAAGCAGCTATTATGGTCTGTACTACATCGTTTGTTGCAGTTAAGGTTGCAAGAAGTGTTCCTAGAGGAACTGGGCAATGTATTAGCGGCTGATTGAAGGATATTGAGATTATATAAGTAAAAACCCGTCATAAAATTGGGGAATTGCTCGTAGGTCTGAGTGGCCACGGGTTGCACGGAGTATGTCCAATCTACTGAAGTCTTTCCTTTCCCTGCGGCATGAAACTGCACACGAATCAACGTCTCAAAGGTTAGTCCTTGAGTTCAGAACAAAACTCGAGCGATAAAGATCTCCATACACATGAAGAGATAAATTCTACACGTTGGAACTCCCTAAAACTCGTGAGTTTCACAGAGGGATCCTGCACAACCTTCATTTCCCCACCAGCGATTATATATCTCCGCAACAAATCAAAAAAAAAATCTTGCTATATAAAGAAATATCGGATCTACACCTGAATTTGAGAGACGTAGCCTTGAACACCTTCAGGGAACCGAAACCGGTTCCCCTCCATGCGGTACTTCAGCAGATAGTTCTCATTATCGTGCACAAGTAGCCACTCATGAACCCACGAATCTGGAAGCGTCCCTCTGCAGTACCGAACACTTCCCACTTCATTGTCTTTCCCCTCCACCAAATCACACACGGTGATTGCTGGTTTCCATTTGCACAAACCTCCGAAGTCCGAAAACAGTTTCCACGCTGCATCCCTAGGACACTCTAGAGTGACATGCACACCACCCGACCACCCCTCTTCTTCTGTTGCTGCTCCCAGATTGATCCCCATCTCCAACCCCATAACTACCGACAATCTCCTCCCAACTGATGTGAACTTCCGACACTGAATTCGCAACTCCACCGCACAAACTGATACAAGTGAGACACGAAACACAGGCCGAATTCAGCAAAACGATGCCTGATAGCTCCGAAATCGATGCACGGGAGATCACCAAAGACTCGCCGGAATGACAAGAGCAAACCAGCAGCAATTTTGTGTAATATATATATTAATATATTATAAAATTTATTTGATTAAATTACTTTGTAACATGTTCAAGTAGAATATATTGCTATTATTATAGATAATATATAATATTTCTTAATATAATAATAGATAGTATATAATATTTTAGGAAAACATCATATTTTTTTATATAAGCATGATATTTTTAGATTCTATTTATAATTTTATTTAAAGATTAATATATTATTTTTAGATGATACTAATATTTTAATATGTGTTCTATATTTTTAGATATATTGTAATTTTTAAATTTAAAATGAAGATTATTATTATTTTATTTTTTTAATAAAATATCATATTTAAAATTCTATTAAAATATGAAATTACCATGTTAATTATTAAAGATTATTAAATATTCATTTTTTTTATTTTGAGTATTTTAATTATTTAAAATTATTCAATAAATTTATTATTTAAAATTAAGACATATACATTTAATATTATTATATAATAATTATTTTTATATGTATATATATGTATATATATATATATATATATATATATTTTATTAATACTTGCAAATTGTTTTCAGATTTTGAATGTTGTAGAAATTATTTTGGGAATACATAAGAATGTTCGAAGTGGTTAAAATCCTCTTGTTAATTCTAATTTTTACATTGATATTGTACTCATTGCAAGATCTAGAAAAAATCAAGTTAAATCTAAAATTAATAATGTTATAACCACTTATATCCTATGAAAGCAAATCAATGATTTGTTTTAAAAAAAATTGAATAATAAAAGATAGATCTCATATACCATGGTCAGTTGATTCTATTATTAAGGGAAATAAAAAATTGAATGGTCTGCAAAAACATTTCTTATTATTAAAACGTGATATGTTTTGATTTTTTTTTTTTATAATTCTAGATCTTAAATTTTATTGTGAGACATATTAAATATTATACTGGAATAACCATAATTCTATTTGTAATTGTGTGGATATCATTGTTCATATAAGTTAGAAGATTGTAACAAAAGAGAACTCCTAAGTAGACTCCCCTCTTTTACTATGTGGACACCGCTTTGTACTGCACACTCTTACATACACATTGGAAAACTCTTATTTACACTAAAAAGTTTAAGGATAAATTAACAGTAAAAGATTTGTATACAACCACTTAGGATAGTTCTTTTTTTCTTCTTCTTCTTCTTTATATTTTCTTGCTAACTAAATTTAAAAAATATATAATATATTTTATATAGTTCTTTTACTTTCTTTAAACATTTTATTAATTTATTTTAGAGAATATTTTATTATAATTTTACTCTAATTTTTTTAATGCAAATAGGGTTTTTATTGTGTGTATGTAGGATACTTATTACAAGAGAGTATCTACATAGTAAAAAAGAAGTGCCAACCTAATAATTTTTTAGCAATATCATAAGTATTCAAAATCCAAGAGAAGATAATATTGTGTTTGATTTATTAATTATCAATTAGTATTGTACTTTTACAAAGGTAAAACAATCTACTTTAATAGTAACTACATTAAAAAGATCAAGTTTTTATATAGATAAATAGATATTACTATCATAAAAAATAAAAAATAATTATTATATGATATAGTGTGGCTTAAATATTAGATCGTAAATACTTTTCCATATGCTCTTAATTCTAGATAAGTAGTTTAAGAACATAATAAATTATACTTAGTCAAAAGAAAAAAAATGTATAATATAATTTTATAAATAACCACTTATTTATTAAATATATGATATATAGTATTATTTTTTAAGAAAAGAAACCATTAGTATATACATAAAAATATGCTTTCAAGTATTAATTTATGGAAATTATAAAATTTAAGCATTCTATTCTTTTATAAATATAATAAAAACAAATAGATGCTCTATATTCTACTGCATTTTGAGCTTGTTACAAAAAAAAAATAAAAAAATAAAAAATTGAAATGTGATAGGTAATCTTGTATTTTGATAAATTCTACATGTATTTCTAATAACATAACATATAATTATTTTTTCTTTTACATTTTTTTATTTAATAAGTAAAAAATTTAAATATATGAAAAAAAAGAAAAAAAATTAATGTACTTACAAAAACAATATTGTAAAACAAAAACAGATTTTTTCTTCAATATTGAAATATATTTTGCAAGGTTATACATAATTCATTTTGGTTACATAATCTATCTTCACAAAAACAAAATCAAGAATATAAGATCAAAAAATCAGAAAAAGTGTTAAAAATTTGAAGATACTACAATTTTTTTTATATTTGTAACAATCAAATATTTTTCAAAATAATTTATTATATCCAAAATACTATATTACTACAAAGTTATAAGTTTATTATATAAAAATAATTAAATTTGACTTTTTATAAATTTATAGTATATCATATTGAATCTATATTGTCACAAAGTGTCATAGACAACAATATTGACATTGATAATTAGGAGGATAAGAGGAATTAGATAGGAATACATGAAAGTATATTTATTTGATAATATCTTTGTGAAAATTCTTAAAAGCTTCATAGACGTGGATTTGACTTTATAAGTATTTTTAGGCAATTAGTAGGTTGAAAACTTTGCTAATATGTTACAAATATTAATCTCTTATTTTAAAATTTGGCCACATGTTGCACATGTTGGTTACTTGTGGCACAAGTTGATTACATTGTGGACATGTTAGGAACTCACCTTGAAATTAAGACACAAATTGGATGACTTATAGAATGATGCCATTTAGCTCTTTTATTAGATAGTATATATAGAAGCAAGAGTGAGACCTTTTTTTACTCTTGTCAATGCCTTTTTTGGTTCTAGTTTAGTTTTAAGAATTTCTAATCTTGTTGTCTTTGACAATAGTTATTTCTTGAATACTTATCTTTATTATTTCTTTTTTGTCATCTCTCTATGGTATACATCTTATTTTTTTTATTTACATTCCTCAAGTTCTTTTCTCTCAAAGACAAGCTCTAATAAACTTGATAAAACCTAAAACTTTATTTACAAAAATACTTGAGATTCATGTGATAGATTAAAAAAATGACAAAATTTGAAGCATTTTTATTTTTTATAAAAATATACTATTTTTTTTGTTTGTAAATAATATAATATTTTTTAGCAATTGGAATATTTTTTGAATGATAAGCAATAGAATGAAGTCAATCATCTAAATCTATTTGTCATAATATTATGCTAAATGTATATATATATATATATATATATATATATATTAATAAAATATAAATATATATAGATTCAAATAATAATTAAATTAATAGATTTTTAATCTTAAATTCATAAATATATATATTTTTACAATTTATTTGTATAAATAGGATATTATTTTTTAGAAAATATTTATTAAAAAATTATAATTTTTGTTAAATATAAAAACAATATTACTTATTATATATAATTCTTAGAATTTTTCAATCCATAGTAATTTGGAACTTCTTAAAATCTATTTATAAACCATCATTTCATATAACATATTCTAAAAACTCTACTTAATTTCTATAAAAACTATATTTTTATATTTTAGAATATATTCAATAATTTTAAGTTTCTATAATATAAAATATATTTTTTATTTATATCTCTCTCTATTCTTAATAATAATGAGAATATTATTCAAATAATATCCACTAAAATTATCTAAAACTTCATCAAATACATAATTTATCAAATATTAAAAAGTGGTTAGAGCATTTATACATTCAAAAAGCATAAAATTATATTTAAAATGGCCATATCTAGTTTTAGTAATAGACTCTTATTTATATCTTTTATATATATATATATATATATATATATATATCAAATATTTAGATACTTTTAGATTTATTTTTATATAGATCTTAACTTCACTTAATTGGTAAAAAAAATTTAGATATCAAAGATTAATTGTAATAATTTTCAATGGTGGATGTGTTAAGACAACAATAATCTGTATTAAATTTTTTGCATTCATGAAAAAGATTTTTGTCCTCAGGTAACATTTTGAATATCAAATAAAGGTTTTTACAAGGAAATACTAATTTATTCTTTAATATTTTTTAATTATTATTGAAACAAGTTGTAAATTGGTTCATATATTAATGGAGTTATTTTTTTAATAATTAATTGTACAACCATTGGGTCTTTAATTTGGAAAAATATTAGTATTCTTTTTTTAAAATATTTCTTGATATTTATTATATTTTTATAGGATTCTACAATAATATCTCCTTGAATTAAAATTTGTGTTGCATAGATAACAAATGGATATCTTTTTCTTACAACTCACAAAAATAACTTTGTTCCAATATGTAGAAGATTGATTTTTATTAGAGTACAATATTCTTTAATCAATTTAATGATAATTCAAAGAAAAATTGAAATAAAAAAGATATATAATTTATTTAGAGAATATATTTTTTAACTACAATAACTCCAAAATAACAAGATTAGTTGAAAATTTTGTTAATGAGGTTTTATAAGTAATATTTATAAAAGAGAAATATTATTGAAATTAAATTATTATTCTTGTGCTTTGAAAATTTAAAGTTTTACAATCTCAATTTGTTTATTTTTATTATTAAGTTGTAGATCTTCATTGATGAAATTATTTATTACAAAAGTATAGAAGTCTTAAGGTGTTATTATACCACTATTTAATGGAAATTTCAAAAGTTAATTGTCTCTTTTTACAAAAAAATGACATCAAAATATTATTATTTTAGAAATATTAAAAACCAAAAAAGAATGATTTTTTAAAATTACATTCCAATAAATTTGACTTATGATGCTTATATTGCATTATTAAGTGATATTGATTCTTTATTTAAAAAGCTTTAATACTATGTATGTTAGTTTTGTCAAACTATTAAGGCCATGAATCTAAATATAATTCTCAAAAGATAATATACTTATGTGCCATTGAGAAGATAAAAAGTAAGCAAAGAAAAAATATAGATATCAAATAAAAAAGAACTACAATAACTTTTTCAAATGTAAAGAAACTAAAATATCTTAAACTAAGACTATGATACAACAAAGATATTCAAAAAAATGAAAACGATTTTAGTCTTACCTTTATATATACTAGCTAACAAGAAAGCCTAATAAAAGCTTCTAAAGACCACAATTTTTACATTCTAAGCATCTGAATTTTAGACTGTTATTGCAGTGGATTTCTAATATCAAAAAAACTAGTGTAATAAGTTTCAATAACTATGTGGCATTTCTAAAGTAAAAACTAGCATAAGTCTCTAACTCAAAATTATGATTTTATCTCTTTTTTTTTAATATTTTCTCTTAAATTTTATTCTATGAAATATAATGCATAAAAATAATTGTAGTAATATAAATTATAAGTGCTATTATATATTTAAAAAAATGTAATACTTAATTTATTATAATAATTTATTTAACTTAATAATACAAAAAAATTTTATATCTCATATTAGTCAACTAAAGCATAAAATATGTTTAAGAGACTCATGTTTAATGTTTATGTTTTTTGATGCAAATAAATATGATATCAAAGATATGTTATTAAATTATCAAAAAATATTAAAATAGAATACTATTAGAATTATTTTTTTAAAAAAATTAAATTTTAAATCTAATTCAAAAGCCCAATATAAAATAAGCATATTTTAAAAAATAAACAAGAAAATTTGGATTGATTAATAATCAAATCTATTGACTTAGAAGTTAAAATAAAACTAAAAAAAAACAACAACACTACAACAATTAATGCCAATTTAATTATGGTTCTATAATAATTTGTTTAAAAGAAATTAAAAGTTTTATTACTTATAGAGTTTTTTGATAAGGTAGAAGAATTACTTAGACATGTGGAGAACTTAGTTTTTTTGGAACAAATCTTTTATGTGGTTTTTAAGAAGAAAGATAGTATGTGTCACTATTTTTTTTTTGCAAATTAGGAGTTTGATATTGATTGCTTAGCATGCATTAATAGCAAAATATTAATCAACCACAAAAAAATTTCTTTCAATCATATGAATAAAAAACAATGAAGAATAGATGATAGTTTTTACTATCAATGAATTCAATACAAAAATGATTCAATGTGCATGATCTAAAAATATACATAAGATAAAGAATTGAAGTAGATGATAAAGATTTTGCCATTGACATGAAAAATTTGAAAAAAAAAAATGTCTATACTAAATACAAAACTGCATCAAACTTTTTATCCTTGATAGACAAATTACCAATGTTCAATTTATTTTTGTAGTTAAAAATTCCTAATTAATTTTATTCCTTTTTTGGCAATTTGTTCAAATTTAGTAGGTAGTCTTTTATAATTTGAGGTTTAAACATATATATATATATATATATATATATTTTTTTTTTCTTTAGTCTAATTCAGACATAACCACTCTAGTAAAATTGAACTTACTTGAAATTTTTTTAATGGTAAAGCAACAACATCCACATGAAAAAACTGCAAAGAGTTTGGTCACAAAGCAAACCGTGACAAAGAAGCCAAGGCATTGACGGTGAGAAGATGAGGCTTCGGAAGCACAAAGAGAGACGAGATTCAGTCCACATTTGCTCCGACGCTCTTCTCCTTTCTGAAGCCCTCCACAGACTAATACTGTGCGTTGTCGGCGGATCGTCACACGAACAAAAAGGACGTCAATCATGTTGATCAGGTCTACTTCGCACACACAATCTCTGCGTGTGTCTGTGTATATGTATACAAACAGAATTTGCTGGACGGAATTTGTTGGAGGTCGAAAGAAAACGCGGAAATGTACATTGTACGCATTCAAGGTCAAAAGGTTGATTGAATAAATGGATTAATCAATGTCAAGGTGACCCGGTAGCTGTGATACACAATCTTCGTTTACAATTTGTCAGGGTTTGAAATACTCGACACACCTTCGTCACGAAACAACTATCTCTTGAACTTAATCAGGGTTGTGCATTATACCGTTTCCAAGAGCGATTGCCTCAAGGCTGTTAAATGGTTTGTATCGATTACTGAATAGCTGCAAGCAAAAGGCCACGAGCATGCACGCCGATCCATGCAAATAGCATCCTGGTCACGAATTCGCACCCTACACCTCTGCCTTTTGCATATCAGGGACTTCGTCGTCATCATCGTCACTGTCCTCCGTCTCATCCAAATCCGGGTACCGGTCCATGGCAGAACTCATGTTGAACTCAGCGGGCTTCCCGGCCTCTTCCTCTTCGTCTTCGTCGATCCAGCGGTTCCAGTCCGCCTTGACGAACGGCGGCGCCTTACCCTCCTTCAGCAGCCTGTCCCACCACCCGCTCTCCTCCTTCTGAATCACACAGAACGTATGGCGGCGGCCCTCGTCGATATTGCTCACGTCCACCTTCACTCTTCCGAACAACTGAAAATCGGCCTCATACTTGGCATCCTTTGAGGAGGCCGTGAACGTGAACCGCCCGTCGGGCTGCAACTTCACTTGCGCGTTTATGGCGTCCGGGAGCTCCACGGTGAGATAGATCTTGTCGGAGCGCTGCGCCCACAGGATCTCCGGGTGACGGATACTCGTGGCCATGATCGTCCCTAAACGTTACGAAAAAAATTAACAAGATTAACAAAGAGATTAATTTTACAAAGCTTTTTTGATTATTTGTTGTTGTTGTTGGCGATGGATGCAGTGAAGCTCCCAGTTACGGTGCCGCCCAACCGTCCCCCCTTCCCCCCTCGGACGGACAAGATGGTGATGAATGATACATGGATGGCAATCATGATGCATCATGCTTGAGCGGATACCACACCCCCCACTAGCTAGAAGCTTCCGCCAGGGTTCTTCTGACGTTCCCTGCACTGGGCACACGCTCTCGTGCTCTGTTACTCAGCTTCACGTTCTCAATGTCGTGAACGTTGGATGGATGGGTGAGTGGATGGATGATATTACGGATGGATGTTCTGTGTTTTGTTTACATGTGATTATCGAAGGAGGTTGGAGAATCCTTCATCCGTCTTCTAGTTGGTGGAATCGACTGCACTCACTAGAATATCACTCTTTTCTATCTCTATGTGTTTTGTATATATTCTAGTTTGTGATTTATAATGATTTAGTTTTTAGGGTTTTCAAGTACACTGTCTTACATGGTAGAAGTATGGCTTTGAATTTTTATGAAAAATTTTGGATAAAAATTTATTCATACTAATGATACATCTATCATATATATATATGTATATATATATATATATATATATATATATATATATCTATACACACACACACACATGAATGATAAAGAGATTCTAATTTTTACTAAAGAAACCTATCCATCATCACAATTTTGTACATGAATAGTATAAATCTTCTTTATTATTAAGACTATAATCTATTTTTGGATAAATAAAATCATCATTCTAAATATAATTGTCAACAATTCTCAAATTTTTTTGATACCTAGTAATAACATTATTCTATTTCTCTTCTACTACTTTCTTTATAATTATGTGTATATTAAATTTACTTCTTCATCTTGTTCAAGTATATACTCTTTTCCAAATTGTGTGTAGTGGATAAAAGAGAGGAAATTATATATTCTAAAATTTATTTTGTATTTTGTAATGGAAAGTGAGGGATATAGTTGTGCACCATTAAAAGAATATTTTAAAAATATTGAAAAAATGAGATGTAGTATTGAAAAATTTATGTACAATCAAAGCTATATCACATAAAAAATAGTGTAAGTCATTTGACATGGTGTCTATTTGTACTGCTTGCTTGTCATTTATATAATAGTACTCAATGGCATTTGATTGTTCAAAATGCTCTTCATAACAATGGAGCTACTTCTTCTTTTTAAGGCCATTTATTTCTTTGCCATTTGTAACCAACCAAAAAAGAACTAACTTTAAGATTGCTAGCTATAGGCATTCCACCAAAAAATGATATTATTGCCTTATATAAGAGTGATACTAATAGTAAATTTATTGCTCAAACTATTAATAATAAATGACAAAAATTATGTTACATTGCACTTGTTGGACAATCATCTATTAATCTTATGCTTAAGCAATATAAAGAAGCAAGAATAAAAATTGATAAACATAATTTTTCATGCACAAGGACAATGATAAATACATTGCATCTACTATATAAGTATTAAATAAGATTTTTTTTGAAAAAAAGAGATATTTTGTCAATTAAAAATTTTCATCATTAATACTACTTAGTAAATACTTTTAACTAGTTTATTCCAATAATACCTATATTTCTATTTTTTTTTGATAGTTTACATCTACTTTATGGTGATGTTAATCAAATTTTGGTGTTTTATTTCTTCATCAATAAAAGAATCTACATAAAAGATTGGTTGAGCTTTCAACAATAACTATGCAATTAAAAAATCTATGAGTGAGTTATTTGAAGGAAAGACCATAAAGAACAAGAAATAGAACCAAAAGTGACATGCATGCAAAAGCATCAACATAATAATTTGTAATACACTTTGAGTCTATAGAAGTATCATGGATATACATATTTATTTTAATATTTATCTATATGATTAGATAGAAGTAAGTAAAAGTAGATTTATTTTATCATATTTTCCAAAAAAGCTTCATAAATGGTCCTTAGACTTTACATGTATTTATAGTTGATTAGTAGGTTAGAAACTTGATCAACAAGTTAACCATGTGTTGATAGCTTGCAAAACAAGCAAACTATGTAGTACTGTGGTAATACATGAAGTATTGCTTGAGAGTGCAATGGACACCTGGCTATAGAAGATAGAATGGAAATTACAATAAAAAAATCTTAATTCAAATAAAATACTAAATAAAATCTAAATAAACCTTAATAATAATAAACAAGCTTTAATCAAATTAAAAAAGAAACCTTAAAGAAATTACAAAAGAAAAAATAAAAAATCTTTAAGAAATTGAAAGATAATCTATAATAAACCTTCAAAGAATCTTTAAAAAGTCCTCAAAAATATTAAAATAATCACAATATATCTTAAATAAATCTCAATTAAGTTCTAATTTAACCTTAGTTGAAACCCTAATAGACTTCAATGAAATTCTAGACAAATTCTAAATCCTAAATCAAATCCTAATTAAATTTTAAATCCTAAATCAAATCCTAGACAAATCCTAACCAATTCCTAAATCCTAAACCAAATCCTAACCAAATCCTAAGGTATTTTAGAACCTCAAAATCTTTTGATTAAACCATTGATCTTATTTAAAATTTTACACACCTCTTAATCTCTTAGTTATAAACAAATATAAGAAATTTGAAAACAATCACACATACCAAATGGAAGAAAAATCCTAAAATCTGCTCAGATGTTGGCTAGCTTCTTTTTCTGACCTTAATGCTGATCTTCTAGTACTAATATCTTCTTTTTGTACTATTGAATTAATCTCAAATTTCTCATATATTTAGAAAAATAAGTCTACTATTTACATACAAAACTTTCACTTTAATCCAACTTGTAGATTGTAAGAAATCTTAGAAACTCTTATTAGACATAAAATTCTACTTTCTAAGACCTTGACCCACTTAAACCTCAATAGTCCTCAATTCAACCATTAGATTAAGCTAAAATTCTTAATATATATTAAACACAATTGTAACCATTAATTCATAAAATTTTACTTATAAATTTATTATAAAAATCCTAAAATTGTCCAAAATATCAAGCTCTTTTATTTCTTAAAAATCCAAATCATCCAAAACAAACTTGACTTTGTAAGGCTCTTACAAAGTCATTACAAATCCAAATCACACAAAATCAATGCTTATAGAAACTCTATCAAGTTTGCTATCAAATCTTATTCTTTGATCTCCAAAAAAATCCTAAAGTTGCTATAGAAGTATAATTTTATACTTACTAGTTTGACTTTAACCTAGGTTGACAACCGATCCTCTCTGGGTATCAATTCTTGACTTCTTGAAGTAAAGTTTGCTAAAATATACTCTTAATTCTCTCCTATATATGCTTATATCCTTTAATTTTCTAATTTTTTTTTTGTCTTATTTATGGCCTTATAAAAGTAAATAGATGCCCATTTTATATAAGGCAATATTAGTACTTTTTAATTTTATTATCTTTTTGACTATTATCTATATTTCTAAAATAATTTGATATAATATTTTGAATTAAGATCTTATATAATATAATTATTTTTACACTCTTTCATCTATTAGCTCTATTATATCATAGCAACATATATATAAAAAATTTGTGTTATAAGTTAAAATATGTATTTTATAAAGTCAACATGTTTTATAGGTCCTATAAGACATTGTCATATAGCTCCTAGTTAAGAGTATATACGAAGGCAAGAGTAAAGCCTTCTTCACTCTTGTCAATATCTTTTTAGTCCTTAGTCTTATTTCAAGATTTTTTAGTCTTCTTGTCTTTGGCAATAGCCATTCTAGTTTAATATTATATCTTCTTTGAGTGATTTTTTAGTCTTTTTGAATAAAATAAGAGTATATTGACATTCTAGTTTTTTGAGGTTCATGTCTTTGATAGTTTGATAAGAGTCCTAACTAATTGCTCTTATCTTATTTTAAAAGTGAGTGAATTACTTGACTTCCATAATTGAATTTTAAAGGTTGTAGATTATCCACCTTTAAACAAATTATTTAATTTTCTAACACTATTTTTTTTTCTGAAAAAAAGAATAGATTATCCCTCTTTGTAAAAATTTTCATTTGATATTAGAACTTACAAATTACCCTCTTCTTATTTGACTTGTGGATTTGTCAAATTATTTGAAATAGAAGAAAAAATTATGGATGCTATACTTCGCAAAAGTGAGAATAGATTTACAACTATTGTATATCTTTACAAAATTTTCAACACTTTTAAGATGGAAATTTTATTTATCACCACCACCAGCTAAAGAAATAATAAGCTTATACATATAAAAAAAGTCCAAAATCTGTGTTAAAAAGTTAAGTACTTGAAAGAAGGAAGCAAATAAATCTCACAACCAAATCCAAGTAGTTTTGCTTCTACAAATATAATGGAGAAAAGGATTAATAAGCCTTAGAATTTTGATGGAACAAGATCAAAATTTTGAATATTTTTGCAATAAATTAAGCTTTATCTAAGATTGCATCTCTTCTAATATCCTAATAGATTTATTCAAGTTGGATTCATATGCACATTTTTATCTAGAAGTACTTTCTCTTGGTTTACAACTTTGATAGCAAAGGATTTACTATTACTTTATAATTTGAATTTGTTCTTGAAAGTATTTACGGCTACATTTGGAGAAAGTAATCAAAAAAAATTAACAGAGATTAAGTTCTTATCTTTACTATAAGAATCATGATATGTAATTATATATGCTACTAAATTCAAAAACCTTACTTGTAACATGGATTAAAATGATAGTCCTTATCAATCTATTCTGGTATGGATTAAAAGACAACATTAAAGATTTATTATTAATAATATCAAAAGTAAAATCTTTGAAATAATTTATTGCTTAAGCCATTGCATACAACAATAGATTATTTAAAAGGCATCAAGAATAAATATTTACTTGAAGAGGAACAAGTCAAATAATGATGGTTACTCTTAAGTTTTTAGAAACTTATTCATTAAGGCCGAAACCAATGAAAATTGATATGGTATGTTTAAAACCTCTTACTAAGCAAGAAAAGACTTGTCACCATCAAGAAGATTTGTACATATATTATAAAGAATCTAAGTACACTATTCAACATTGTCCAAAGAA